CCCCCCCCACATTCGTTCTGAGAATGTATATCAGTAGACTGGCGTTTGCTCCTCTCTCGCAGGGGCGTGAGCCATAGAAGCAAAGAAGAAGAAGAAGTGACTGTGACCGCCTTGTGGGAGGGGAATTAATTCGAGTGGGGATTATACTCGAATTAATTATTGGAGGCCCGATTCAGTTCGCCAATCAACCAATAAACTCGGTTGAAAGGGACCGGCCCGGAAAAAATCCTTAGGTGGTGAGCGGATTCGAACTCGGGACCTCCAGGTTCGCAGCCCCTGCACTCAGGCCGCGAGACCACTGGGCCGGTCTCTATACTTTCTCGTAATTTCTCGCGACTGAAAAAGACTCAAGTATAGAGCTCGTAATGTTTCGCTGTAGCAACTTGCTATATAGACACAACTAAGCATTCAAACAATAAATTGATCAACATTCATTCTTGTTTGTTCATGACTTATAATTTTTCACTTGTTTATCAAGAGGCACGGTAGTGCCTCGCGCCAAGTATATGCGCAAACAAAGTGCGCGCGCGCTGCGCGAGGTACCCCGTGCCTCTTATACGCGAGATTTAGCCGAGAATCTTTTCGAGATTTTCCGATCTCAACAACGGCTAATCCGATCGAGTTTGTAGTAGACTCAATCGAAAGTTGAGATCGAGGCACGAAAAAACTTAGTTCGCGGCTTTATTCTTCCGTGCCTTCCCAACGGAGATATCTCGATACAAAATCCGAAATGCCGAAAAACTAGGTTCTACGAATTCGTCCACGTCTTGGGACAATGCTTGAGCGTACTTCGCCTCTTGTCGCCACCAGGTGACAACACTTTCGTGTAGATACAGGCTGCGTTCCGAGTTACGCATATGCACGCATTTATCTATAGTACACGTTACATATAGTATAGAGAAATACGTGATATGCGTAACTTGGAACGCAGGCATAGTCTCGCGCCAAGTATAGCGGTAGAACTGATAGTAAACATTTTTTGTGTTTTATAACACAATATAATACAATATAATAATATATACTAATACAATATAATAATATATATTTTTTAATTTATTTTAATATTTTACACTTAACGATACGTAGTTTTTTTGTGTTTTATAATAATACAATATAATACAATAATATATATATATATATATATATATATAATACAAATATAAAAATAATTAAAAAATATTATTGAGCGTACTCTCTCGTTATTAAATTTGTTAAATAAAAAATAAAAAATACTAAATATAAAATAGATATACTATCCTATGTTAATTCGGTGATTGGACAGTTCCCGAAAACGCGGTTTTACAATAATAAAGCTTATGAATAACACAAATATACACATTTGATTTATTTTAATATTCTACATTTAACGATACATAGTTTTTTTCGCAAATCGCGGATATCTCGAGAACCAGAAGAGATGGCTTGAAACTAATTTTGCAGGTACCTTCAATCGGCTACTCTGCGATTTATGACAAAGAGTGAAAGTTAACAAATTGAATATTTCGAGAACGGTAAAAGTTAGAGCAAAATGGTTTTTACATCTCAGTTCCTATTAGTTAGTTGCAAAATACCACACGGTAAAAGTTTAATAATTTCTATTATTTAAACAATTGATTGTTAATAACTAAAGTTAGAAAGTTCAAACTAGACTGGTATTTTGCAGTTTGTTGCGCTAAGGATTATGACGCAAACTGTTTTCCTCTATCTCTTTTAGTTTAAAAGTTATTAATTTTGCAACTAACTGTGATGTTGCGTAGTAGCGACTTAAGAGTGATAACTTATCAATCTTTGCGTAAGATTTAAGAATAAGTTTCAACAGGTTAAGCTTTAACGTTAAATTTTAATACGTGATATGTAAAAATGCATTTGGACTGCCGAGATGTTTTTTGTTTGACGTCAATCGAGAAAACATGTTCATGCGTACCAAGAATGGCCGTAATTTATTCGTTCTACACATTTAAGATTCGTTACATTGTCGAAATAATAGTATTTCTCTCAGTTCTGTAATTTTATTGGAATCGTAGTTTTGTTTAGCCGCTAGCATGATGTTTGCAAAAAATTTTATTCTCGATTATGTGGAAAAAGAAAAATAGAATACACATTTAATGAATGTTACAATTTCTTCAATGTGTAAAGTATGCGTGTATTGTTATTCAAGAGATGTTTTTCTTGAAACATTGTGTATATACTCTTTAAACTGTCTATTTTAAGACACCATCATTAAATTTAGTGAAAAAAATAAGTTTCAATTCATAATTTTTAGCAAATATGACAACAAGAAACTTACTTTTTTCAGAAAGTAGTTTTGCTCCAGACGAAAACGACCCATGTCCGTCCGTTGAGGGTTAAGAATAAGACGCAAACAATTAAGTTATAATGCAGTAAAAACAGTGTTTGTCAAAACCATATTCTACAAAAATGTGTGATATCTGAACAAAATACCTTTTAAAAAAAAGATTAAAAAAGGCGCCAAATACATGCGCAACTCGTATCTCTAGAAAAAGTATTACAATCAAAATCTTCCTCTACAAGATCTATTCTACAAAAGAAATGATATCAATAAGTTACGCCAAGTAAAATCTTTTATACATGGTTA